TGAACCGCTTGGATGGTCTGTCACACCAATGGCTAGAGGAACACCTTTGAACTAGGACTGGTGCATATTAATTTGAAAACCAATGTAGCTATGCCCATCAAAATTGTCTTAACTGGATGAAGAAGAGAATGAGCCAGTATTTACTTTAGAATCACTTTTTGTCCTCACAAGAACCATGTCAAATGAGCTAAATCTGCCCAGTGGGTCACATGTATGGAATTCTCACCAACGGGAAGCAGTAATTAGAATGGTGGTGTTTTTCATGAAAGCACAGCTAACCATAAACAGAGTGAGCCACTAAAAGCAGAGAAGATTGCTTCTATCACATAAAAAGAATTAAAAAAAAAAAAAGTTATGTGAATGCCCCAGAGAGAACTGCAGCGATCTGAACAGCCAGAATCTATGGTTACACCACTGACATTTTATGGACTTGCTTTTAAAGAAAGGCACACCCCTCTTGCTTGTAAAAACCCGCATTTTTGCTTCCAAATTCGTTAACTGGGTATCAGGTTACAACACTTGGTCTCAGCTTTAAAGGAGAAAACATTGATATTTGTTTTACGAAATCTGAAATATGCTGCAGGGATAGGAATTGTAGTTCTTTCTAGGGAGTTGCTTCAGTAGTTAAGCTTTTGTCCCACTTACTCACATTTATTTATCCACTTTTATTCAAATGTGGGAAGGTAAAACGACACAGCCTCCACTCATTTCCCTTGGGCTTGAATTGTTGGGATTTAACCTGTGGACAGGGGAGATGGTAGGAAACTGGTGTCCAGCTAGTTTTCGTTAATATTTTTAATAGCCAGAATGTGAACTGCCTGCCGGAGAACCGGAGAAAGGCAGAAAGCACCACCCGCCGGGTACGGTCGTGCCTCAATCCGTTCCTTCCATCTCTCCATCCTGTTGGGATTCTGGGTAGGCATGTATTTAAAGTCTCTGGGGCTAAGATTTGAACTTAGCTTCCCTAACTACTAGGTGGTTCAGCTTCCCTAACTACTAGGTCAATAGCTGGCCCTCCAGCTATTTCTAAAAGGGTTATTCCTCCTTTTAGTTTCAAAATTATTTTTTGTTTTAAATGTAGTCAGAGTTACCTTGACAGGTCAGTTCCATAGAATTACTATTTTCCTTTTTTGTGGGTTTTTTTTTTTTTTTGCCTTAGGGCACATGTGCTTGCTGGAGAGACAGACAAAGAGAGAGACACACACACACACAAAGCAAGAAATTACCCCCCCCCCCCACTCAGGGGGG